GCTATCAATATAATAATAACGAAAAATGTTTGGTATGTAAAATTTTAATATAATTTGTAGCAGTTATAGTTTACATATAATTTTTTTATTAATTTAAAGTAAAATAAATACATGAGTAACTCTTAAATTAGAAAAAAATCATGAGTTCTTCAACTGCCTTCGATAGCTCAGTTGGTAGAGCGGTGGACTGTAGTGGCTGAAAATTTCACAGATATCCATAGGTCGCTGGTTCAAATCCGGCTCGAAGGAATGAATTTTTTTGTGTATTTTTTTCCCTTAGAATTTTATTTATATATTATATTTATATTAATTTATTTAGTTAATAAATTGTACCTGAATGTTTTTTTTTATTAACTTTTTTTGTCTTCTTTTTAATTTTTTTTTTTTTAACTTATGTTTTAGAATATAGTGGTACCTATTATAATACAACCATGCATGTTATTCATAATTACCAAAACTAAATTGAATAATAGTTTAGAACTATTTATTTATTTTTAAACAACTATTGATACTACATAACAATATAACATAATTTCTGTAAGTTTATTGATTTTTGTTATTTTACCGGTAATACAGTAGATATATAGGTACAACTAGAACGAATAAGTCGTATGATTTTGTAAACAATTTAAACAAAATTAAAGTATATAATGCCACAATATAATTTTTAACATTATTATAACACTTGTTTATATTAAATATCTAAAAATTAGTACCTATGGTATATTTGTTTATCATTAGAATATAATGCACCCTACAGTATAAAAATTGAGTATTGAGTATTAGTATACATTTTTCCGTAGGTTACTGTTGATCAACAAGAAAATAATTACTATTTACTTATAAGAAAAGTTAACAAATAAAAATTACATTTTATGATAATTTATTGTTTCATAATACTTAAAATGATTTTGAACTGATATTATATTTTATAAATATTAAAAAATATATAAGTCCATTAAAATAAATCATATCCCTGATGAAAACTAATAATTTGCAAATATAATAAATCAGAAAGACTTAAACTTGTGTTTTAATCGACAAAACATAATCGCTCTATATCGCAGAATGTAATCGGTCGGAATGATAATACACGAAATCGTAATAAAATAACTTTGACTAATTTTTCTATAAAATGCTAGACTGATATTGTATTTGTATTAATTCGTATCCCTGTGTATGGTTTATGCATAGTTAATATGAGTACATACATAAATGTGTAAACGAGACACGAGTCGATTTTCCTATTGGAGTCGGATCTGTTTAATCGTACCACTGGTAAAATGTCGATGACGCGTTGAGCTAACGTCTTGAGGACATGATTTGGGGTTGAATGTGTGTATATATATATATGTGTGTGTGTGTATATGTGTATTTATGTGACGTTTGAGTGAGTTGTCAGTTTGCGTATGTGGGAACTGGGGAGAGGGTTGGTCGCGTGGACATTTTGGATGCAATTCGTTAAAACTGCGTACGTGAGGAAAACGCACAATTTTACAGAAATCAGGTCTTCGTGAGATTACACACATTGACGACGATATGTACGATCGGCAACGTTGGGGCGGCAGGGAAGGAGAGCGCACTCGACAGAAGTCCACTTGCTTACACCGTCGAGTTGATAAAACTTATAATTGGCACCCCATTGATTTCATCGAGAGCATTTTTTTTTACTGTTGTTTTAATCTACACGCGGGGAAAATCCGAGACGGTAACTTGGTTGGTCATAGTTGGGGGTGGATGGCAGTTATGTTATTATTATTATTACACGTGCGCGTGCGGACGCGTTCCTTCCGGTTAGCAGCAATTTATTTTCCACGTTTGTCTTTCGAAGACAATGGGCTCGAGATTTATACATTATTGTTTTTATTTATATTCATATATATTTTTTTCGCCTCAACCCAGGGCGATAAATCAAATGAAACGAGCATGTGTAAGTGCTATGACATTAAAAATGACAACGGTAAAAAGCTACTCCCCACCACACAGAAATATGATGTATTTAAACGCACGAGTTTGAAAAATATTCGTGCTGTTTTTTGTACACGCTTTTAATGTGTATATATATATTTTTTTTATTATCACACATTTTTTTTGCGGTTAACTTATGTGAAAAAAAAAAGAAAAACAACGATGAACATATACACAATGTATGACTGTCAGATATTTCCTCGAAAAAAAAAGAATACAAAATAAAATCGTGACGCATGTGAATAAGACCGGAGACACGTACAGCAACAGGTAGGCAAGTGCGGTTTTTTCAAATTAACAGTGGTATAATACTACATACACACCCACATGTTCACACACCCCTCGTGTATGGGAGGAAAAAAAAGTAAACGTAAGAGATTAGCTGTCGCTAATAGTTTGTCGGAGGGGATTCTATAGACGATATTATTGCTTGGTATGTGCCAAGTTTACCGAACCGCTTTTGCCCATGTGAGGTCTCGAAGACATATTTGCGGTGTGTTCATCAGTGTCCCTACTCTGTACATAGCCAGTTCTAAATCTCTGGGATATTTGTCAGTGCGGGTCAAAGGATAGCCATTTCTTCCGATGTTATGAAATGCAATTCCCCAGCAAAGTGTTCGGATTCCAGAAATTCACAAGGAATACGCGTTCCTGCAAGACCATTATTATAGATCACGTATGTTACATTTGCATGACATCATAGCATAACTATTGTCGATTTTAAATGTGCAAAATGTATACAGCAGCAAAAAAAGACAGCAAAACAATTATAAACACGCGCACGCCCACACACACACAAATAGACGATATTTGATATTTAAGTCAACTGCGCGATGGATATACATTTCTAGACTTATGTCCTTTCACCCTCAATGACGATCCATTCGTGAAGTTTAGGAATCGTTTCCGAGCAACGTGACATTCGAATATATGTATAAGTATATAGTTCCACATTCGTTTGATACATGCAAAATTATTCGCCTAACTGTAAACACCGGGTAAAAACCAAAGGCGTGCTCGCATATTTACAAGATACACTTGCATGCATATTGCAGGATTTCGGACTGATGGCAGTGCGTTCACAAGTGTGTTGGTGTGTAGATGTGTGTGGAAATGTTTTCGAATATACATACATTAAAATATTCCCGTCGAAGGGTGTATGCGTAATGTGTTCGGTAGGAAAACTGGCTGAGGAGGGGCGAAAGGGTAAAGATTTTAAATGCGTATTTTAAGATGTCAACTCAGTCGTATGGATGGCAGGCGAGGAGCGAGACACGCGTATATGCATGGGAATTAGCATTATGTTCCGTATATATATATAGGTACGAAGTGTTGGGTGATCCGTCGTCGAGTCGAGCACATGAATGTTTTAGCACGCATTCAGATTAGAGTGTATGTGTACGTCAAAAACCCTTTTTTAACCCTTAGAACGGAGTTTTTTGTTTTTAAATTTTGTTTTAATCGGATCCCGAATGCAAATGACTGGCGGAAAACAAAAAAAAAAACTCAAATTTACATCGGATGCGTAGCTCACGTGTCATATTCTATCGATGTATCAGCTGTATTATTATTTTAACCGTTATATTATACCTCATCACATGAAAATTCACTCACTGCCTTGCACCGACGTCATTTTGTTATCATCGTACAATTTTTCGATGGCAAAGCAGATCCTTTATGTATATTTTATATTATTATTATTATTTATTATATTGTGCAGAGGAAAAAAAAATACCGGCCGACGGCAGTAATTTTTTTTTAATAATTTTTTTTTTTTTGTTCTCCTTTACCTTCTCAGAGCGTTGCACATGGTAGTAATATATTCATAAGAACCACTGCGGAATTAATCACCCTCTCCGGTTTTCGCGTTAGCATATCTCTCGGGACGTCGGTTGTTCCTCTTGTGACACCATCGCACGTGAACGCGTACAACGAAAATCCCCAATGTAATTTCTGATTAACTAAAAAAACGACCACTTCCCCATAATGTTTTATTTCTACAATTTTTAAATTGGACTTATTTAGGTTATATGGATCGACGACGAGAAACAGTGCTCGAAGCAATCTACAGCTTTACCAACAAAATTACTTAGTTTTCTTCAGTTTACGCAATGCTAATAATATAAATGACGTTGTCTGTAAACAATGAATAAGGTTATAGGAGACAGTAATTTGTGAAAAGTATCAATTTACCGATGAATAAAACCAGTTTACACTAATATATGTTCAAAAATAACATTATTGAAATAAATACAATTTTCTCTTCTATATTTCATACATCGAATGGAATACGATATTAGCCAGAAGAAAATGTGTTGATTGTGAGATTAAAATGTTATTATATTTAAGGATGTACCGAAGTTTTGCTCGTTATGTTCTTATGCAAGACCGATTTTTTGTGCAATTCACGCTTTCATCCACAGTTAAAATGTTTTGAATATTAATATTTAGATTTTAAAAATTTAAGCTCTTATGAATTCTTTCAAGTTGCTGTAGTTATACGTAGTTTTGGGATTTTCTTAGGGTTTAATGTATATATATTTTCATTTCAATGTAATTGTTGTTATTGTTTAAAAACCAAATAAAATAATAATAAAAAAAACTAAAAAATAAAAAAGGGGAAAATGAAGAATAATAATTGCTTTTATAAAACGTTAAAAAAATAGATGGTGAAAATAACGAGGGAATAAATTCGAAATTGCTTGTTATAGAGCCTGCCTGGTGTTGCATGGAAAGTTCGTGCTTTTTCACCTGATGTTTGAAATTATATTTTTTTTTTCAGTTGATAATAATAATGACGGACCGAGGTGCTGTTATTAAAAAGTTGTGCCAGGGAAGTTCGTGGGGGTAGAGAAAGCATGCTCAAATGCATTCAACCGTTTTTCGAATCGTAATGAGATTATGCGTACGGTACGGTGGCGTCTCTCAATACGCAGAAAGAAGCGTGAAAAATATTTAGAAAATAAACACATAATAATACGTATATACGAGGTAGAAATTAAAATAAAATATATATTTAATAAGTCACTCACCTTCTGGACCAGCAGTGTCAGTGGCGAGTTTGTGCTGAAACGCCTTAAACGGAAAATTGGTCTGTAACCAAGGTGAAGGTTCCAAGTATTTCTGTAGAAAAATAAAAAAAATAGAGTTAGTCAAGTACTTTTGTAGTAAAACAGAGTGGGAATAATTATTCACGTTATCTGTTGCAACATCCCCGTTTCACGCAAACAATAATATATTCCGGTCATGTAGACCCTTTTATCGTATGTTTTGTCAGGCAGATGTCTTGGGTGTACGTGAATGGAGTTTTTTTTTAAGCATGTCAGTTCTTCTTACCCTCGGAATAAAGGCGAAAGTCATATATTCTTAACCCGGCCAATTGAATGAAATAGCCTTCGGATCGAAGGCAAAAAAAAATATAAATGTATATATATATATATAAGAAGAAAGATAAATGCGTGTCCGGCAGAGTCCACACACGCAGATGTTGAAGATATTGGCCAGTGATATATGTACGTGCGAGGGCAAACTATATGGGACGCGCGCCACCCCGTACGTGTGTTTAAGTATTCTAGTCCGTCGTACGCGACGATACTCTTGTTCGGACACGAATGATTTGCTATGTTTTTAGGACAAAACTATTAAATAAAAAAAAAAAAAAAAAAAAAAAAAAACCGTTTCCCGGACGAGTGTGTTGCCTGCAGGAGTGGGCATTATATGAGGGTAGCATACGAGAAAGGGTGACCGTCAGTCGTAATATTCTGACATACGAGTATGGGATTTATGCTCACTGTTATCGCATACATATTGCAAGGTTTTCATCGAAAATACTCTGCGTATTGTGATTTATTTTATTGGACACGAGTGTATACTAAACTCGTGTCGTATGCACACGTTGGACGCATAACGGGATTTACATTTTTCCTGATTTTATTTGTAATAAACGTCCGAGTAGTAAATAGTAAATGTTCGATAATTTATTCGTCTTCATCGTGTTTCAAAAATAACTTTCGATGTTAACGCGATCGATAATCGCAATGGATTAAAAGTTAAATATAATTTACCATTTTATTCGCCTCGATGACATAACATTATGTTTCTTCGAAATGTTTAATATACGTCTATATGATTAATAATTGAGAAATAATATTGTATGTTATGTTTATTCATACTCGGTGAATATACTTGTCGGACAATGATGTACCCAAGGGGAGGCTTTTCAGTTGGCTGAAGCCCCTCCTCCAAAAAATATGAAGAGAGTGATTTTTGAAAGTTTACGTATTATTTTCACTTTTTGAGGCTGGTTATAGTTCCAACCAATCACTTCATAAATTTGTTAAAAAAGGGTACAATAATTGGAAAAAAGTTGGAAAAAATCGAAAAACATGAAAATTTAAATTATCATTAGGAAGCTAATCATTTTATGGATGTCATATTAAGTTATTAATTTATACTTTACCAATAAGTAAAATATTTTAAACGACAGATATAGATATTTCTACTGCAGTTAACCAAGTAGAAAGTGTAGTGTCTATTCTCCGTCAACTTAGAAGTAATGCCGAAATTGAATTTAAGCAATTATTTCTAAAAGCACAACAAATTGCCTCTAATTTATACATGACTATGTTTATACTCAGACTAAAAAAACACCAAACTAAACGATGTAATGCATCATCAAAAAATATTGAAGAATACTATGGATGTTAAATATTTATTCCTTGGATTGATTCATTTCTTAATAGTCTTTCTGGTCGACTTTTAAAACTAAAAATCTTCTTACAAATTTTAAATGGTTTTTTTGTCGCAAAGGCCGAATTCGAACTGTGGTATGAAAATTTTAAAAACTGTTGCTATATTGTACCACTAAACGTAAATTATGGTTTAAATTTATGTGATTTGAAAATATTTGCAACGGTACCAGTAAGTAAAAATCAAAAGATGTCTTAGAAATACAATGGGGCAGTCACGTTTAAATGGAATGGCAAATTTAAGTATACATCGAAAATACAAATTATAGAATCTGAAGTACTAAAAGTTCTTTCTGAAAAAGGACCCAGGAAACTTAAATTTTAAATTAATTTTTGATAATTTAAAAATGAATAGTAATTGTTTACTTGTGTGTAAGGAAAGTCAGAAAATGATTAAGCTCCCTCCCAAACAAAAATCCTGGGTGTGGGCCTGTTGTCGGTCGATCTTCTGGTTTCCAATATTTCCTACTTTCAAGTCATGATACTCACGGAGAGGGTATGTGTTAGGGTTGTGTGAGGGTATATCGAGGGAGCTAATGAAATCACACGATCGAGTGCGAAACGACACCCAAAATTTATGAGCCGCGTAATTTCCGTTATTTTATTGAACTGAAAACCGCGTAACGTTTTGGTTACCTTTATCCGGTAAAATAGAATTATAGCAGCACACTGTATTCGGTATGAAACGAATTAGTGTGTTTCATTTTGAGTGAACAGCGACGTACATACCCGAGAAAAAAAATAATCTGACAAACGTTGGCGCTTTTGCCAGCTGATATCACTTAACTAAATAAAATTTAACAGCTAAAGTTTTGCAAATGGAATATGTTTTAAATGGATTTCGTGTGTGCAAGTCTACATAGAAGTTTGTCTTCACAAAATCGTTTTCCAGTGTCTTTTGGCTTAACGGAAGTATTGTATGGAAGAAAACACACACACATACATGTACGTAGGAAAGGGATGGGAAATCGACTTCCGCTTTTGTGTGGTATTACCCCTTTTTTCTTCCCACCCTTTCTAAACAGCAAATCTTTCTCGGTACGCACATCCGCACAACACATACACATATACACACACATACACACTCACCCCAATCGCATTCCCTTGGCTGTTTTAAATAGTTTTTGCTGCCACCGACGACGATGATGACGACGACGACTGCTTTCTCCGAAATTAACACACCGACCCTGTTTCTGTCTTTTTCGCTCCCACGATGATGTCGAAGAGTGGTGGCGGCGACGTTCTTTTATGTGCGACTTGCGCGTGTGTATATATCGTTCATTAAAGGCCAGACCGAAAATGAGAAAAAGCGTCGAACTTAAACGATTTTGCATTCAAACAAAAGCGAACGTTTTCCCCCGTTGCGAATCTCACTAATGGAAAATATTGTCATTCTGGTCCGACCGAGAATTTCTCCGACATTTGGAATGGCAAGGAAGAAAATGTATTTCCGATTAAGAACATTGACAATTGCCCAAATATAAAAACTATTCGATGGATAAGTTTTGCTTCACTTTATGTGTATGTTTTAATAATAACGATTTCATTCAATTCTTCGAAAATGTAAATATATGTGCAATATTGAGTATTGCAATCTGTCGTTCAAATGAACAAGAATCTTTTACACTGCCACTGCCAGAAGGAGCAATGGTAATTTTCATACTAACTGTCAATAGTACAAGCTTATGATTTTAAATTATTTAAATCTTGTCCATCATTAGCATCCGGACAATGTCGGTAAATAAAGTGAAAAAAAAAAACAATAATGAAAAAAAAAACGGAAGAAGCTCTTCGATCCGGTCCTTTCATTAATAATTCATTAATTGCGGTTATCAGGATCGTGGAAGACGGTAATTTTTCCCCCGATGATGATTTTGACACTGGTAGTAGGGCAAAAACTAAACTAAAGGAAAAGAAATACTCAACAATTAAATGCACAAAAATCTGCAATCTAAACTGTTTTAATGTCGGTAATTGAATGGCCGTGCCTGGGTCATTGTTATTCACCGTAAAAATGCCCTTCCGACACGGAACGACCTGACAATTGCCGAGTTGAGGGGAGAAAAAGGAAAAAAAAACGTTTGCGTAACATTAACTGCAACCACTGATTGAAAAATAAAAAAAAATGAGACTGTGTAAATAGTGCGTACAAAGGTTTGGGGTCGCTGTATATTATTCTATAAGTTGTTATATAATAAATAATAATCAATAAATATATGTTATTTTGACAGAGTAAAATTGATAGAATATGATACAGTACATATTATTATAATATTATTGTTGTGTCCGGGATAAGTAAATAAAAGACGATAAGTATTATTACTAGAGCTTATAACTTATAGCTTTAAAAATTGTAGATACAAGTGCTTAAATATGCACTAAAAATACAAAAATATGTAAAAAAAAAAATGTAAAAAAAATTTTAAACTCTAATTATTAAAATATCGATTGCGTCGCTATATGATACAAATAAATATATAATTTAAACCAAAAAAAGAAGAATTAATTAATTAACACGTGTTAATTATAAATATAAATAATTAATACTACTATAATTTCTTGTTATTATTAAGAAAAAATTTTTTAAATAAGATTAAAAGACTTAAAAAAGCAAAACAGCAAATAACAAATTTTTAAACACGCAAAAATATGCAATATAAAATTTCGTATTTAGTTTCTTAGTTATCTGAAACATATGTATAGCTCACATAAGTTCTTTTAGGACCTCACAAAAAAAATATGTAGATGCTACAAGTTACTCGTATGAGTCCTGATTATTACTAACGTACAATTCGTTGCTGAGTTTTAGACTTGATCAAATTTATATTATGGTATTAAAAATCAATAAACATAAAATTAACGTTAACATTTAAACAGTTATATTTCATATTTTAAAATTTTATGATTAAAAAAAAAAGTGACAAAATCAAATCACTTAAATTCGAATACTATTTACATATTTGAGTCGAATAACTTTTAATTAAAGGGACATACATTTTTTAAACTCGTCTTCCAAGAGAAATTTATTTTTTGACTATGAATATGTCTTATTTCCAATGTAATAGATTGCACGTGGAAACGATTTTCTACCAAGGGGAAAAAAATAAAATTTAAGTAGAAAAAAACTGCCTTTGATAAACCGCAGAATTTTGTTCGAAACCTAAAACGTATAATGTACATAACATATTATCATTCCACGTAATTGCGGACCGAATTATAATATATGAATAAATTATTGCACCTATTACTACGAGTTGCGATAGGAGCAATAATAACTGTATAACGCGTGAGTTAGGGAAAAAGCGTAGTTTTTGATGTTGTTACAACGACGATAACGACCTGCAGACGTATAATAATAATAATTATAACAGTGTA